ATAGTAACAGGAATCTATAATAACAAATTCAACATTCTAGTATCGTTTAAGTATATAGCCTATACATCCTTAAGAGAAATCAACATCGAAATTGATCTGTTTCGAAGTCGAATTTCTCTTACGGGAATTCGACGCTATCGAATACGAACGGTACCACTGGCGACGCTTTCGGAAAAGTTTATATGCACGACCCGATAAAAGCTGCTCCAGCGTAGAGGAGCGGTCGCGCTCCGTTTTAAACGATCTCGGAATTTCAGATTCACCGTACAGGACTGCCATAAGTGGAGCCATCCTGAAGCTGCAGGAAGAGGGGAAACTGCATCTGCTGAAAACCCGATGGTGGAAGGAAAAGCGCGGCGGAGGATCTTGTAGGGTGAGCATGCAAACATGATCCCGACCTTTCCCTCGACACACACGTTCGATAAGAACGCACGAAATTCCGCCCTTTTACAATTTTGACAAACACGCGAATCTTCATCGTTGAATTAAAAAATCGACCTACATTTCGTATAAAAATTTTTTCAGATATTAAAATATTCGTTAAAATTGAAATCGCGTGTTTTAAGAATTATTTTGTTTCCTCTTACGAGGCAGAAAATATTTCAAAACCTTTTTAGAATCCATGTTTCGAATAAAGAATAGGAAATGTACTTTAACTTCTAAAGTGCAATGTATATTTCGCACTGTGTATCTCCGGTCTGTATAGTCGGTCTTCCAGAAGTAAACGAGAGGACGGGAGTAGTAGTAATAGTAGTAGTAGTAGTAGTAGTAGTAGTAGTAGTGATAGTAGTAGCAGCAGACAGACCGTGCCGCGAGGAGACAGTTTCATAAATTCGTGAAATCATGGCCAGGCGCTATTATGCAGCTCTTATCTGCCGGTATTATTCTGCCGGAATGAATTCTTACGACTGTTTGTCGCTGGAATTTCTAATTCAAAGACGGAGTATCTGTTGGGAATCTGGAAAAATTCTTCCCTTCTCTATTTTAATATTTCCTTATATGTACAGGGT